CTGCAGAAGGCAGAGGTTCTACTAGCTGTCCCTATGAATTTGTCTATTGTAGGGACCTCATAAGAGTGAAATCGTACAGTGTTGGTCCTGTTGTGACTGGCTTATTTCACTTAGCATAATGTCCTCTGAGTTCATCCATGTTGTAACATGTGTCAGAATTTCCTTCCTTTTCATGGCTGAATCATATTCCACTGTATGGATATATGACATTTTGCTTATCCTTCTATTGTTGGGCATTTGGGTTGTTTCCACTTTTGGGCTATTAGGAGTAATGCTGTTATGAACATGGGTAGGCAAATATAATTAGAGTCCCTGCTTTTAATTCTTTGGGGTATATACCTAGGAGTGGAAAGCGTAGCCATTTTAAAGTGGACAGTTCAGTGGTATTTAGTGTAACCATCACCACTACCTAGTTCCAGAACATTTTAATCACCCCAAATGGAAACCTGTGCCCAGGAAACAATTTCTCCCCATCCCATCTCCCCTCCCCTCAGGCTCTGGCAGCCACGAATTCACCTTCTATTGCCATGGATTTGCCTGTTCCAGATATTTCATATTACTGGAGTTTCACTATATGTGGCCTTCAGGAATCTTCTTTTAAATGCTTGTTATTATGGAAAATTTCAGCATACCAGAAAGTGGCATGACGTGTTCAATGAGCTGCATGTGCCCATCACCCAGATTTGGCCTCCATCGATCTCCTCCAGACTTGTTAATGGCTGTCTCTTTACCAGGGAAGAAAAGCAGTACGTGAACCGATTCTGGAAAGAAATCCACGTGGGAGACTTTGTGCGTCTTCGCTGCAACGAGATCATCCCTGCAGACATCCTGCTGCTCTATTCGAGTGACCCAGACGGGCTGTGCCACATCGAGACGGCCAACCTGGATGGAGAGACCAACCTGAAACGGCGCCAGGTGGTCCGAGGCTTCTCTGAGCTCGTAAGTGATCTGGTGTGTCCAGGGTCCTAGGTACCAGGTCCTGTGGTGCTTCCCATGCCGGCCCTCCAGGCCTTTGAGCACCTGCATTCCCTCTATCAGGCCAGGCTGATGGATGGATGGGGGACTGAGGGTCTGAGAGGACCCCAGTCCCCCTGAGCACATAACCGGCCTGTGGCTATGGGAAACAGGACCCAGTTTTATGACTCTGATTTCCACGGTACACTTTGTAGATTTGGAGTCCCTTTAAAGTCACTAGGAACACTTGGGACTGGCTGACTGTCAGCATTTACCCAGCTGTTGCTCTCATTCTAACACAGCAGCAGTAATGACCTGACCCCAGAGGTGGCTCAGGAATTTCTCTCCTTAGGGGTGTTTCTGAGTTCAGTGTCAGGTCTTCTGTGACTGAATTCTGCCTTGGAGGAGCATCGACCACAGCTCAGAAATGCTGGCCCTGTGGGGAGCGAGAAGTAGGAAGGGGAGCAGGGTCCCACCACCTATACCCACCGATAGCCTTGTGGCTGGAAAGTTCAGACCCTGTCAGGGGTTTCCAACCTCTGTCCCCCTCGGTCTGTGCAGAAGATGCAGGGGTGCCAATGCCAGGGGTCAGAAAGGAGCATGAGCCCTCGGGGATCAGGAGGTGTCTGGCAGGGCAGTGGGCTAGCCCACACCTTGTTCTCCTGACACTGAGCTGCCTGTCTCTGTCACTCAGGGGCCTTGCCATCAAGGAAGAAAGGTTTAAGAAGTGCCCGAGGCAGTGAGCTCTTGAGTTTCAGGAAGGCAGCCACTGGGGGGGTCTCTTCCTCTGTCACATAATGGGTGTCGGTGTCACACACACTGGGGATTTTCTTCCTCTGTCGTTGGCGCCCTCTCAGTGAGCTCTTACAGGAGAACCAGGCCTTAGAATCAGGACTGGGTTGGGTCTGGAGCAGTTGGCTTGTTTTATAGCCTGGGGGTGTCCCTGGGGCACTGTTGGCATTTGACGTAGGGCATTAGTTGTGCAGGATTGTCGGGGGAGGGGGGCATCCCCGCATCCCGCTATGAGTGTCCATGCCGTTTACCCTAGGTCACTGTGACAGCCAAAGGCACCTCCTACACGCTTGCAAAGGGCCAGATGGCGTCCCACACCCTGGGGCTACTGCCGGCCTTGGTGGCAGGACTTTCTGAGCCTGACACTCACCCACCTCCTGCAGACGTCCCGGACTTCCTCACCAGTGTCTGGATTGTTCTGCCCTCGCTTCTGTCCACCACAATTTCCTCATTTTCATCTCCTTTTGTGCCAAGAGTGTTTTTGTGAGCTGCCTCAAACCTTTCTTGGAACGAGGCAAAGCATACATAAACATTAAAAATAGTATTTTTTTTAAATGGGATGCTCTTCTCCCGGATCAGGAGAGTTGGTGGCAGTGCTTGTTGGGGACCCTTGAGGCCCAGCACTGGCACATTCAGTGCGTTCCAGCTTCTGCACTGATTGTGCTCCAGGGTTTGGTAATAAATGTGGGCCAACCTTCCCCTGCCGTTTCCCCCCGGCCACATGTGCATGTGTCCTGAGGTCGCCTCACTCCAAGGCTTCTCCCCCAGGCCTGCCCCAGTCCCCCAGAACCCACTGTTCCCAAGCCCTCTCCAGGGCACAGGCGTGGGGACGAGCCCTGAGGTCAGCAGGGATGGGCTTGGATTGGAGGGAGGTGGTGACTGCATAGGCTCCAGCTCCATCCAGGTGGAGCAGCTGGTGTGCGCAGAGGGTGCCTGTAACATAAATGGATGCATCCGTGTATCTAATGGGCGAAACTTCAGACACTGTGGAAAATCTGGCGAAACTGCAGAACCTGAGAGCAGAGTGGATCTGTTTGGGTGGCGGATGGTGCAAAGCCACAGGGGTGCATCTCCTTGGTCAGCTTTCAGGAACAACTTCCTTGTTTCCTGTCTTCTAATTTGTTCAGCTGCTGAA